GGCCTGGTGCATTCCAGCCTAAGATTTTTCAGAAAGCGGGCATTTACTGAAACACTAACAGGGCTTCACGCAAAAAATTGGTAATCATGTACCTGGAAGTCTATGCGGCCCTATAATACAACACCCTCATCCCAACCAACGCGCTTTCTTCTGCATGCCGGAAGAGGCCAAAGCACGCCAATACGAGCCCAAGTGTTAGGCTACAGCAGAGGGAACATTCCTGCCATAGCGGTCTGCGAGTTTAGTGCAGAAACGCATGGCCGCACCAGTAAACCTGGTACGTTCCAGCCTGGGCTTAGTTTAGGATACTGCAAGTTAGTGCTTTCAAATTTGATGGTTCTTTCTTGTACAATCCAAGACAGAACCCCACCGGAAGAATCTCTGGATGTGTTGCCGTCAATAAGAAATGGATTTGCTGTCCCTCAGGTCAATTTCCAATTCGGATTTTTTCAAAATTGTTTTTCTATTATGCATGCCCAAATATGAATTACAATCATATGTGCAATGCACTTATAAAGAAGCACTATGTGTTTTAGTTTTCACCCGCAAATGCAGACAGAGCTCTGCATGTGGGAAGCAACCGGAATTATCAGTACAGCCTCCTATGCGTCATGTTTTGATTGAACATGTGGCGAATCTGCAAGAGAATTGTAAAAATTAAGTTGGAGAGAAAAAGACAGAAGAACGATTAAGAAACACAGCGTAGAACGCATCAGGCGATCGGTGCGATCACGCGTTTTTGTGCTATTTCATGCTGCAGCAAGATTGCAAGGAATTACCGTAAGTAGAATTTGTGACATACTGGCCCTCCAAGTCCAGGAAGTTAATTGTGCAGTTATGTGGCATGTCAGTTGTAGATGTCAACTTCAGCGACCCGACAAACGGAAAGTTGCTGGTGTGCGAAAAAGAGTTGAATTTAAAATCTACTAGAAGAGTTTAATTTAAAATCTTTTAGTCTCAATTAAGTAGGAAGCATTTCCTTTAAATCCCAGTCTTATTTGCATGAGGTCCGGTCATTTTTTCGGTAAATGTTCGCTCTGTGAAAAAATGACAAATGCAAATTTTTTGAAAAGATGCAAATTTTCAGTTCATTAAAAAGTGGAAGTATTGCTCGAGCGGTCGTTTGTCAAAAAATGCACGTTCATTTACATATACAATTGTGGTTAAGGTTCGAGCTGCGAACGATTTTTTTGATAATATGCAAATTTTCAGTTCATTGAAAAATTGAAAGTATTGCTCGAATGGTCGTTTTCAAAAAATCCATGCTCATTCGCATATAAAATTGCGGTTCAGGTCCGAATTGCTAACGATTTTTGGGTTCAGAAGCTGCTTGAGGCTGTGGTTGGGGATCTAGGGGGCTGAGTTTAAAATTTTTATCTCGCATGCGCATAGAGAATATCCCTGCAAAGTTTCAGCTTTCTACGTTGCCTGGTTCGCGAAATCGCTTCTCGCCAACATATTTCTTTGGGGGTCCCGTATGCGGGATCTAGGCGTGTATGGGGAAAGATCTTAAAATGGGAGGATGACACACGGGGTCCAAAGTTTCAGCCTCCCAGCTTTCCTGGTTGCTGGGATGAAAGTGGGTGACAAAATGCACTCGCTTTCCGAACACACACACGCAAACATACACACACAGACAGTCTTTCGACAATATGCTTTTTTGCTGGCTGTAGCAGCGCTATGGCGTTGCTATAAAGCTGCACAGCAAAAACGCATAAAATTTGTTTCAGTACTAAAACAATTTTTAATTGAGCTTTTATAATAGCCACTACTATCAATGTAAAGCGACGATAAAACTGCTCCGATATTAACATTATTAGTTTCAATATTAATGACCTTTTTATTATAGTTAGAATTTGGTAATAATTTTGCCTTCAAATTTAATGCATTCCAAAGCTCTGTTTACCAAAACTCGTCGTTGTGCAATGGATATCGGCACCGCGTCGTGAGCAAATACTGTTGCGCAGGTATTGAGTACCAGCGAAAGTACCGCAATCAACAGTTCAGCAACGTGAATTGTCCTGGAAACAACTGTCATTCAAAACCTGACTCATACCGCTGCATTTCCAAAAATTCAAAATCCCATTTTGCAAGCTTTATCAAAAAAAAAAAAATACCAGTGACTTGCACTAAGACTGCCAGTGCAATCGTGCCTTTTTGCACGCTTTCGTGATGCAGTGGCGTCGTCAACAGTAGGTGCTGTTGTTGATTTATATTTACCTCGTGCTGAAAATGTTTTTCATGGGCTTCTCTTCTGCGTCGGAAGAAGGAAAGGGAGGGTTGCTAGCTAGCTTGGTGGTGCTGCATTCTGGAATCTCGTGAAATTTCAGCTTTTTATTCAGTCTGATTCCTGAGTGAGGATGCTAACAAATTTTTAGCACTGTACCCGTTTAGCAAGACGTAAGCGGACATTAAAGCTAATTTTACCTTTTTTGAGCTACATGCGGCAAATATTACCTTTATGAATTTTAACTTTCTAGCCTGCCTGATTTTTGAGAGAGGGGGTTGCCAGTAATTTTGCAAATTTAACTTTTGATGTATTCGGATGTGAGGCATCGACGCCCTTTTCATTTTTCTTTTCTCTAGCAGCATTTTCGTAGCTGCGGAGATCGTCTAATTTGGCCGTTGAGATCGAGAACATTCGCCTCGTTTCGCGCATTCAAGAAGCTTGTCAACAAGGCATTTATAGTCTCCTTCAATACTTGCTGAGATGGTCCAGTCAGTATTCTCGACTTATCGCTTTATCTATTCACCATCGATTTCTCTAAGCCTGGTACGCAGACTTGGTGCATGCGGTACCCTTTCTTCATGAGCTAGAATGATATGTGTTCTAGCTCGCGCCATGGAAAGATCGCTTCCCGTATTGAAAGAAAAAATGTCCTCGAGTATTAGCCAAGCAATGATCAAAATGTAGTCAATTTCGTTAGTTTTTTTTTGCGTTTAACGCAGTCCAATTCCATCTCCACTCCCTATCTTTTCGGAACTAGATACTGCCAAAAAACAGTCTGTTCGTCTCCACCATTACAGCTAGCCTTCTGTCGTTCCTCATGCCAGTGCCGTATTTGCTAAGGTACTTTTTTCCATTTTTCCGCCACCCCTCC